AATGATAAAATATTTGATTTTAACACGAATACAAATGGCCAAAACACGAAGGTTCGAGCAGTACCACCGAAAATAAAATGCCAACAACCCGTCTCAGCTGGAAAAAGAGGCAGCAATCGTGATAAGCACACACTTGATCGATGGCGCTAATGGTGGCTTATTTATTTTCCCTCTTGGCCATCATTCAGACCCACAGAAACGCCAGATGAGGAAAAAGTTAGTTTAACAATTTAATTGAAATTGGAGAGGGTTTCCTCGAAGGTTGAAATACATTATAAATACTTAAGTGTATTTTAAATTGTGTATGTGATGAATATTTATGATGTTTATATTTATATCCTTCCTAGATAGATTTAAATCCAATTAGTGGTTATTTAACCTCGAAAGATTCGCTTTTCACAATTAAGTATTGATTTTATTTTCTTCGTCAGCACTTTTCATTCCGTTCGTATCAATTAGGCCACTAATTAACCCTAATTAGCTTGTCAGCTGTCAATTAGGCCGGTCCCTAAACAATCGGCGTTGCAAAATGCCATGCAAATCTCGAGAGACGGATTCATAAGACCCCAAAGAAGGCCGTTCTTAGCCCACTTTTGCAACGGAGAAAATCGGATTAGATGCGCTCAGCCACCTTGAGATGTTTTTGCATCTCGCTGCGCTGTTTTCCCATTAATTAATTTGCCAGCAATGCCAAATCCCCTCTCGTTGCATAAATATTTGACTTGCCGGCAGCGGCAAAAATGAGATTTATTTCGTTGGAATTGAAATGAATGGCCGTCAGTCAGTCAGTCAGTCAGATGGTGAATTTGTCGGTCTGCCTGCATACTAAGTACAATTAGAGTTGGTTTCTGTAGTTTCCTTGGCGCTGGCATTGCATAAAAAATAATCTGTCTTTGCATTAAGCAATAAGAACAACAAACTCGCGGTCCGCCGGGAAAATCCGGTTGTAAGCTTTTCCGCTTTCCGCAGCATCTTAGCCAAAGTTTTGAGTAATGAAACCGCTTGGCGAAAAGTTCTATGCTGCAAATCCGTTGGATTAATTATTACAACTCGGAATTGTTTACAGCGAATCCGCAGCACATTGACTTTTTGCTTTTTGCTGATTATGCTTTGTTGGCTTTTCCTTTGTTTTATTTGCCGCTTATCTGTGCACAGTTTTTCCTTCTAGTCAGCTTGTTTTCCAAGGGTTCGCTTATCTAAATGACATGTGCATAAACATTTTGCTGGCTCATTTAGTTCAACTTGGGCGACCAACGAGGCGCAAAAATCAACTGCCAAAGATTGTGTCCCAAAAACAATTGGCGCACACAAGGGCCTTCAATTAAATACTCGAATAAAATGCAATGTCAGAGTGACGGGCGGCAAAAGGTTCACAAATTGCGAGCTTGGAAATTTTTTAATTAAAAACTAATGTGGCGAAAGTGTGCGGGTGGAAGGAAGGAAGATACTCCCTTAAATACTCGCCCCACACACACACACACACCAAGTAAATTACGCCTAATTGCGAGTGTTTAATTATGCACTAGTTTAATTTTATGGTCTTGCGGCTTGGGGCTCACCCGAAAATATATGAAGACATTTGGGTTGATGGCGAGTGTTGCGGGCTGTCCATAAGCTCCACAGGATGTGGATGCCACCGACGAGTCCTTTTCCCCCTAATCTGCTTGTGTGTTTGCTGATAGTTCCCAGCTTTAATTTACGCAAGCGTAGTCAAAGTAGGAAATAATTGCTTGCTGTCGAGTTAGTTTATTTAGCTAGCCCTTCGTACTTAAGAGCACACAAAAATGAATACATAGGAGTATTAAAGAACAAGCTTGCATAAACAATTTCTGTACTTAAAAATAATCATTCTAAATATACTCCCCGCCTTGGAAAGAAAGTTATCTAGCTGTGTGAACAAGTTCAGCCCACTTATGCTTCTATTTTCGCCCAAATTGTTTTCGAGCCGTAATAGAATTTTACTTTGTGCTCGAGAGGAGCTGGGAAACAGGAGCTGCGGAGCTGCCTGTTTATAAGCACTTGGAAATTCCTACGCCTCAGCACAAAAGGAAAATTGCTAAAAGTTTATTTTCTCGGTTTGCGTTCTGTTTTTGTTGTCGGTCTGGCCCAAAGGGGTGTGGCAATTTGTGGTTGCAAACTTATAATGTGTGCAAATTGGTCTATGAAAAAATCATGTGTGAAAATTTCAAAGGGGAAAACGAGGCGGGCGAACGAGGGAAGGAAACCGAAAAGAAAACTTGGAAATTGTATTGCCTACTTTTATGGGCTGCTGAAAGTAACCCGACGAGGGTGGCTCGGACTGTCCATATCCCCTCAGGATTTTGACGACCTTTTGCGGTTTTTCGTCTGCCGACATTCAGACTTCAATTAGCCCCTGAAAAATAGATAGCCCGAACAAAAGGAAAAGAAAAGCAGAGCAGAGCTGTGCTGGCCAAGGAAAACCTTTCTCCATCGACACCTTCTGCAAATTGAACGCTCATTATTCAGACAAAAGGGAGACCACCGACGACTCGATTTAAGGCCCGGCCTGGAAACAATTTAAAATTAATTGGTTTCAATGTCTGTCCTGGATGTGGTTGTCGACGATAGTAGATGAAAAACCTGGCCTACAAATTGGTCAGCTCTCCTTCGCCTTTCTTCCGTGCGGTTTTCTTGGAAAATGAAATCATTTGAAAGTGTTTGCCTCGGCCCAACTGCGAACCTTCGAGCCCATGCAAACAATAAGGCAGAAAAGGGTTTCTACTCTGCCTTCTCCTCATCTGCAATATATTCTCTCTTTTTTTCACAAATTTGCCTAACCATCAAAAGAAGACGAGATGCGAGACTGGAAAAATGCGGGGCTGGAGTGGAAAGGCGGCCTAATTAAATGAAAATTCATGGCGTATGCTCTGACGAAACTTTTCCATGTTCCTTCTGCCGTCTGGCTTTGTTGTTCTTGTTTCTGCTACTACTCTGATACTTTATCCCGAAATTACTGCCAACAATACTTTGAATATTTTTGCAACAAGGCGACACAGTGGGTGTGTCTGGGTGTGTATCACATGCATGGCACACAACGATGTTTTGTTAATCAGATACAATGTTGTTCGAGCTTGTCTGATACTCTTCAATTTGGTATCGAGTAAGGTAACTTAGATTTATGTTTTGTTGCTTCGGAAAAATCCAATTATTTGTATGTTGAATTTAAATATTAATACATCAGGATTTTAGTCAATTTCAGGATAAAAATAGTTCTGACTATAAAATTGTTTCCTCTTAAGATATGTGTGTCTTAAAACAATAATCCTGAAAGGAGGATAATTATTTAAGTGGCATTTTTATAAAGCATACATTTAGTTTTAAATAAAAGTTTTCCATTACATTAATTGCTTAATAAATTACACACCTATAGAAATTAGTTTTCCGTTTATGAAGAGTATTACCTGTTCGACAATTTCTCCATGCCTTTTCACCCTGTTGTTTTTATGCCTTTTAAAAGGCGTTTTGTTGCCTGGCAGCCAACGCGAACCGAGCTGCGTGTGTGGTTTGGCAATTATTTGAGTAGTACTACAAGACACACACACACACACACACCCGCACCCACACTCGCACAGCGGAGAAAAACACACAAAGCACACAGATGTACATAATTACTTTGTATACATTTGCATGGAAACTGGCGGAGGAGGGGAAGAGAGGGGGAAAAGAGGTCCTTGCCGAGAACAATCAGTGCGAAACATTGTAATGCGAATACGTATACGCAGTGTGTTCGCCAGTGCGACTGAGGCTCAGTTTAGAGCTCCTCCGCCGCCTGCTTTCCGTGTAATATGCTGCCATGTTATGTCGTAAATGTCGCTTTTTATTATTTTACATACATTCTTGTGTTCGCCGTACTTTCTCGCCCAGCTTCCTGCATTTTCTTTGTTTTATTTACATTTCAACACGCGTCTGCCAGGACGTCTTTCCTCTCTCTGTCAGAACCAGTCCTGCCGGCTGTCAGCCCGAGCTAAAAGCGGGGCACATCCAATTTTCTGTGTAATGACAAGCCGTCTGGAATAGACAAGAGGAATGTCTTCTAGCCGAGAGCCCAGAAATATTTAGTGCCGTTGATTTTTCTAATTAAATGCCTGCCAACGAGTTGGCAACTGATTAAAGTCGGTTATATATATTCGCCGGAGCTGCCATTTGTTTAGTTCGCGTTCGCCACGCATCCGTGCCCACATTTGTCGCACCTGGCGTATGCGTAATGCATTGTAATTTTTCCTAAGACTCCCAGGCAGTTCCTTGGCTTTTATTGCCCACTCTAAGCTGATTTATTTGCGCTCTAATGAAATTTGTGTCGTGTGCAGCGGGGCCAGAAAAAATAAAATAAAATGCTTATGCTCGAGTTAATTTTTGAGGGGTTTCTCCAGTCTAAAGAACATGAACAACAAGAACATTTAATACAATTTGAGCAATTTATGTTTGCAAATTTAATTTGTTATCTGAGATTTTTGGTTGAAAATAAATTAAAAATGGATAATATAAACAAAAAGAGCTTTAAAACGATTTTCTTAATTTTTTTAAATAGTTCTGTAATCTTTTATTTAATTTAGTTTAAATTACTAAATTGCTTTTAATATTTCGTTTTTATTTTTCTGATGATAGTTAGTTAGTTAGTTATTTTTGAATGGCCCTGAGTGGTACTTTTTCTACATTATAGTTTCAAAATATTATTTATGAACTCGCAGCCACTGAATCATGTTCCCACTAGTTTCATCCGCAACAACTAAACAAATTGCTCATGTCATTAAGCAAAGCTCACGCCTAAAATCAAAAACAAAAAAACTCAAACCAAAAGTTCATTGAAATGGCCACCAAAGTGCAAACGTAATTAATTAAAATGCAATTTGCATTCCCGGCCAATAACCGCAGCAATAAAATCCATCAGGATCAACAAATTCACAGCTAATAAAACGCAAATCACCCTATGTATCAGTTCCATTTGTTGATTAGTTAAAAATAATGTGAGCGAAACTTACCGCAATATTGTGTTTAATTTTGAGCTGGTTTACGTTTGCAGCTTGGTTAGATAGTTGGGCGATATTTATGGGTCTGTCTGTGGCGCTTTAATTAAATTGATAGCGAGTGTGTGTGGGGAACGTGCCGCAAATTAAACACGCGACTCACTCAGACGAGACTTTTTAATTGACACACATTCGCGGCACTTGAGTGGGGAAGATGGGAGGATGGTGATGGGTTAAGGATCGGTTCAGTCACCTTACAGTCTGGGATTATTATTATGGTGTATTTTCTTTTTTTTTCTTTGTGGGCCGAACACTACGCGACATGACGCTATGCTGCAGAACGAAGACTGAACGCGACGCGTCTACTTCTGTTGCCGTGGTGTGAGTGTGGCAGGTTGCAGATGCAGCAGTCCGCAGCAGCAGCAGCAGACGCAGTGGCAACAGCAGTTGGAGGAGGAGCAGTCGAAACGGAGCTGAGTAGACCAGGCCACCTACAACACGCAACGACGACTGAACGAGCGATGGCCCAAGGACCAACAGCACAGCCCCAAAAATACAGAAGTCCTTCGCAGCAGCAGCACCAGCAGCAGCGACGCGACAGCGACAACAGCAGCAGCAGCAGCACGGCAGCAACTTTGAGGAAAATCTCGGAAAAACGACGGCGAGAGAGCGAGCGAGTGTGGCACGGGCGGCGGAAGAGAGAGAGCACGCCGACACGAGGCAGGCATTTTCCGCTTTCCACGAAGCCTGCAATTTGCGTAGCGCATCGGCATTTTCCGACAATGCAATGTGTTTTGCCGCCGGACTGTTTGAGTTGCTCCTTTGCGAAAACAAAGCGGAACGCGATGGAATCGGAACACACACAGTGCAGGATGATGTAAAGGAATTTCACTGGATTTATGATCAGGTAAAAAGGGATTAATTTGATTGAATTGTATTTAGAGATTTATAAACAAAAATACATATTTAAAATTATTTATTTATTTATAAATCTTAAAAAAACAAAAAAAACAACTAAGACGTTTTAGGGTAATCCTTAATTAGGATTCTTTCCTACATGATTTAATCATAATTGTTAACATTTGAAATCTCCTAAAAAAATTCTTAAACTAACCTAAATAATGAATCTAAGCTCTGGGAGCTTTATTTAACCCAATTTGTTTTAAATAATTTATGTATCACCCGTTAATATTTTGAGTAGATGTTTATTCTGCAAACTTTAAAACCCCAAAGACCCATCCATCTAACAGAACAGTGGGCGCAGCTCTGTTAATAGTTAACAGAACTCTTAACAGCAGCATCACCGAAGCGGAAGTGAAACAGTCGCCGCTCTCTTTTGCTCTCTCGAGTTTCCTCTGCGCCTGCGCTGGCAGGATGAAGCCGAGCCACCGCCGAATTCCGATGCTGTCCTTCGGATTTCCGCTCGTGGATATTCAGAATCCCCGAATTCCTGGCAGCGGACAAAGCGCAACTTGCTCCACATATTCTAGCCCTACTTACACACATACACCACTGCGTTCCGCACACTCACACATAAACGCGAAGGATACAGGATTACAGCGCTGCTTTTGCCCATTAGCCGATGCTGCGCTGCCGGCGTCGCAGTCGCTGCGCAGGACGGGCTTTGTTGTTGTTTCGGCCGACGCTGCTGCTGCGCTGCCGCCAGCTGTTATCACCAAACATTGACGCTGCTGATAACAGGCAAAAGTGGCAACCGAGGCACATTAAAACCAACAACGACCCAATTCCTTGCCACTGCCACTTGCCATTTGCCACTTGCCACTGGCGCTGGCACTGCCGCTCCTGCTGATAATGACGAGGATAATGATGATCCCTGCGCTAGTCATTTGGCCCACTTGCCGATTCCCAGGGGTCAAGCTGGGAATCAGGTATTTTGATTGGTTTTCCACTATGCCAGCATAGTTGGGTGCACTGCAAGAAAAATAATCAGGATGTTTGGTGATTTCCTGAAGTCCTGATTCACACTATTTTCTGGTCTATTTTAAAGTACGGCAAACTGCATAAAAATATCAAAATATAAGGATAAAAATCTATATATCTCTTATAGTCTGCAGACTATTTTTATTTTTCCATAAAGAAATTAATTACGAGTAAAGTAAATCACGAGTTTTATTTATAAATTTTCCCTTATTTTCTTCAGTGCCTTAGGATGTATTTCTGTGAATAGCAGCTTTTTAAATAACTCACCAAGCACGAAAGCGATTTAAATGAACATCGGTTAGCCAACAAAAAAAAAAATCATTCCACTTTGGGACCCTGGCATTTTAATTCTCATGTTTAACTTTGAACATTTTCTACCTTGCTGTGCCCCACCCCCTGAACTTAATTAAATGTTGTTGGAAAAACGCTTTTCATTTAGGCTGCATAAATTACAAAGCAAAAGTGCCACTCGCAACTTCAAGGAGGAAGCCAAATCTTTTCGGCCCTCCCCTCGAAAAGCCCGAGGCGTTGACTAGTGGCTAAATTATGGGGTGTGGCTGTGGCTCGGCTTATGCAAAATAAAATAAGTGTCTTTGGCCATTTGAAGTCTCCTCCGGGCTGTTTTTAAATACAAAACTGGTGGGGTGAAATAGTATATTAAATTAGTCTGAATAAGGAAACATAAAAGAGTTCTTCATTAGAAATTGGTAAATTGCTTAGAGTAATAAAATATTACTAATTCGTTGATAAACAAATCTTAGATGTTAAGTAATGATTTCTTATTAACGTTAAGTATTTTCATTTTTCTAAAAGTAATAAAGGAATTTTTGAGCATAGGCCCCCGCAAATTGATGTTTTTCTAAAAGGGCGCAAAAGCGAAGACACTTTTCTCGCCACAGGACATCGGGCAAATTGCACTGGGAATGTCCTGCAGCGTCTATATGACCCCAAAAAAATACTGAGAACACTCTACTCCGTCTTGTCATTTGTTTCTTATTGTAATTTATGTGCAGGCAGCGATTTATGATTACATTGTGATTTATAACGAATAAAGGCTTCAGCTGCTGCCGTTCCAAATATCCAAGGGTTGAGCAGCAGGAGGCTCGAAGGACTCTGCCAACTCTCACCTAATGTCACACGGCTGGTAAAAGTTTTGTGCAAGTTGTCAAACTTTTTCAGCAGTTTTTCAGCTGCTTGTTTCAGCTGCTTTTCACCGGCAAAGTTTTACCCTCGATATTGTTGCAAGTACAACGCAAAAAAATGGCATACAATCTGTCAACGTTAAGCAGGAATGGCAAAGAGAAAAGGCAGCCGAAGCAAGTCAAGAAAATCAATTGGAAATTGGCCATCGAGTTTTTGGTGGGGGCGAACGTCTCAGGTGTTTATGGAAACTTTTTTATTACAAATCCAGAAAAGGATTTGCTTCAGCCGAAAGAAATTGACCCCTGAACAGTTTTACATTTTCTTAAAGGGAAAAACACTGTCTCGATTTTACTTTGGAGTGAAGAGTGAAGTTTAAAAAAATAATAAAAGATATAATCTTGAATTTAAAATCACAATGTTCAGCAAAGAATAATTCTGTGGCTTGTTTGTTTGCTTTTTCTGCGTGCTTCTATTTTACAATTGACAATTACATTTCCATTAGGTGAAAGCCGCCCCGGAAGCGTCTACAAATTTTCGCCTATACATTTTTCATGTAGTCGACATCATTTTCGAGTGACCCCGACTGACAGGAACGCGTGTTGCCTCGTGTTGCGGCTGTTCCGCCTGAAATGTCAAACAAACACCGCTCAAATTAGCCAAACCACCCGGCGTTTTGTTGGTGGGTGCTGTCCGTAATGCGCGTGAATTGTAAAACTTTATTTTGACAGCTTTTGGCCTCGGACACCTTGGGCAAGACATGTCAGACAGAAATTTTGGGGAAGGAGGCTGACGACTTGAGATTTTTTTTCAAATGCCATTAAAGTGCTTTAAACGTTTTCGAATTACAGCATATTCTTCATTTTTCGTTTCCGTTTTATTGGTTTATTTTGCTTGGTTCCCCACAAAACGTTATTAAAGAGCTTAAAGTGTATTGTGTGCATTTTAAAAGTGGTTATTTGCTCTCATAAATATTTTTTTTCTTGGGTATTTTGATCATTTGTTTGATGATTTAATAAACTGGATTTAAATTGGTTTGGTTTTTTATTTGGTTTTATTTATTTCTTAATGTTTTCGTTTCCAAGAAATTAAATTTTAAATTTACCAAATATTTTGTTTAAATATTTACACATTTATCTCATGTATTTTTCAAGCTTGGTGTTATCTTTTTGTTTGGTAGAAACAAGTGCACTGTATTCACAGTAAATATTGTCAAAAATTTTAAGCGGATTACGCCAATTACAAATTCTGTGGGAATAATATAAAACCTGTCGGTTGTTGGTTGTTTTTACCCAGATGAGATAATCTCTTCTCTAGCGGTTGTTTTCTGCTGCCAATAATAAAAGCTCTATAGCGGATATAAGCCAGATCATCCACCAACTTTAATCGTGACCCGAAAGAAGTCGGCCGTGCGCTTATTTGCCACCTTCCTGAACACAAAAATCATAATTAATTTAGCTTGAAAACTGCCAGCCGACATCAACTTGAGCCTAATTTGGGCCACTCTTCTGCCCCTTTGGGAGCTGTGCAGGAAAGTGCTTGGTAATTACTTTTGGCATGGCTGCGATGAAATCGCTAGAAAATCACACAATTCAGCCAAAGGAAATTAACTCATTTCCACATAAATTAGTTCCGATTTCCGGCGCTCTCTGGCGAAATATTATGCGTCGATTATGATTAACGATCATTGGCGTTGCGTTCCGTTGCGGGGCCAGGACTTTCATAAATAACTCACAGGACTCGTTCGTTCGTTCGACTGGGAATGAGTGAGCACAAATCGTTCACGCCTCCCTCCCCAGGACATAAAATATCAAACGACGCTCGCATTTCGGTTCGCTTTGCCTTATTTTCTTCTTTGATTTCGGCCCGTCCATTTTTTCGCCTGCCCAGAAATTTATTTATGAGCCCTCGCTGCTGGCGGGCCATTTTTAAGGACACGACAGGACGACGCTTTTGGGCGGTCTCATTGCGCTGGCAATTACGCTAGCCGCGCCTCGAAATATTGCCAAAGTCATTGACTTGGGTCCAGGCCGTTTATGAATTATATAAGACCAGCTAAAGTTGAATGATGCACAGGGGAAAAATATAAAGGTCGCTTACCAAAAATACGAAACTATTTCTAGTGCTTTCTTAAATCGGTCTTTATATGTTTGATTAAAAGTGCATCGAAACTGAGCTGACTGAAATATTTTATTTATTTTATAAATTAAATCTACGAACAATATATTTTTTTAAGTGTACATAGAGAAAAAACATCTGCAAAAGGCGGGTCCGCAGAAAACTTCAGACACGCCAGAATATCAATGAATATGAGTTATTCGCACGCATCCGAAAGTTTTTCACTTTACAGAACTCATGAAAAATACATTAAAGAACCTAAGGCGAAAAAAATCACTGAAGAAGACTCCTAAAATCTGCCGAGTTGTAAAAAGCGGCTGTCATTA